AGAGAGGAGGACGGAGAGCGAGTTTACCAGGTACGTTTGGCAACAGTCACCCACGTACAGAGTGGGAAAGAAGGACAATTCAGCTTTGAGCCGCATCATCCCAACGCTCTCAATTCTTTGTCTGTTTTTTTTTTTGTCGTCTCGCTGTTCAGTGAAGGACGGACGGAGGTGAAGAAGTTCTCCACTATCCACCAGGAATATATAAGAGGCCAAGAAGAGCCCCCTGCACGCCCACGCACAGCATCTGGCTTGAAGGAAAAGTTGTAGAAAATGTCCTTGCTGGGGCGTCTCTCTTGTTTAGCCGTTGCCCTTCTCTCCGCCGCGTACTCGGCGTACGCCCTCGTGCAGTACCGTAATGCGTGGTGCCTGTGTCGCAGCCGCCTCGTCGTACCACGTGCGGTGCAGCTCTTCCACACGCACCTCATACGGAACAGTTTCCTCAGGACAGCAGCTATCGTGCATTACTTTCACGTCGCAAAGGGCGCCAGCGCGACACCGCCGGCGCCTGCCACGGAGTCAGCAGCAGCAGCAGCAGAAGTAGCGCATGAAGGCACTCCGTCCGACCATCCGCCTGACGGGGCTGCCACGCCGCCACGTCCCCCCACGTGCCCTGTTGCCTTTGTGGACAGAGAGGCGTTCGACGCGAACGTGCGCGCGGTGGGCGCGCTGCTGCTGAGCCAGCACAAGCATATTCGGCTCTCCACGAAGGGTGTGCGCTGTCCGGAGCTGCTTGAGCGGGCTGCGGCGCTGCTGGAGAGGCTCGCCCACCCGTGCCCCGACTACGACCTTGTCTCCCCCGAGAAGTCCTTCGTACCCGGCCTTCTGACGGTCACCGCCAGAGAGACGCTGTTGTGGGCGCGGCGCGGTACCTTCTCCTCGCTGCTGCTGGGGACGCCGGTGGTGGACGCGGCGAGTGCCGCCTTTTACGTGGAAGCGATGACACTCAATAACCAGTCGAAGGTGCGCTGCCAGGTGGTTGTGGACGCGGTGGAGCAGCTGCAGCTCCTCTGGGCCGCCGCGAAGGCCTGGATCGCCGACCGCGGGTACACGCGACTTGGGTTTGACAACGCGGTGGAGTCTCTGCAGTTTAACCTGCTCCTCCTTGTTGATGTGTCGTTTCAGCCACCGTGGGCTCAGCAGCGACGCGGTGAAACTCCACACGCCCTCCGCACGCCACCCGACGTGATGCAGTTCTGCGCCGCGGTGGAGGACTTCAACGCGCAAGTGGAGCGGGAGAAGATGCCGGTCGGCGTCAAGTTCATCGTGCGGGGTATGTGGACACACGAGTGTGGCCAGCTGTCGCATGTCGACACCGCACCTGTTGTCGTGCCTTCTGCTACTTGCGTCGTGCCGGCGCGGTGGCTCTTGCGCTACCCGCTGCTTCAGCTGTACAAGCAGCACGTGTCGAAGAACGTAAGCATGCGTCGCCGCTTGGTTCTTCACTGGTGTGGTTACAAGAAACAGGTGATGCCGGACAACATAATCGTTGGTGGCGGCAGCAGTGCGTCGCTCATGTGGTCCGCCCACGACGACACCCTCAACGAGGTGTGTGTGGGCGCTGGTCTGCTGTGCGGGCACAAACAGGACCGCTACGTTGACTCGATATTTAGGCCGGCGCTGTACTTTGCGCTGACCGTCACGCGCGTGGCCTCGCAGGAGATGTGCGTCTGCGCTGGCTTCGGCGAGAGTGTCTCGCCTGCGGCGGCGGCGGTGTACCCGCCACAGCTGCAGCGCGCGCACCGCACCGGTGAGTGCGTTGACGACGACGTGGAGATTGGTGTCCGCATTTTGTCCAAGACAACAGAGGACGAGCGTCCAGTTGGCGTCGGCGAGCCCGTTGTGTTCCGGCCGTCGCACAGCGGCGCACTGGCGGAGCTCGTTGACGCCTTTCTACTCGTCACAGAGGAAGGCGAGGTGGCGGCTAACATGCACACGTACAGGGGGATGAAGTGGAACATATGGGCGTAGCACACCGACACTTGTGATAGCAATACGACTCTGCGTATAAGCATAGTCGCTCTTTTGTTGTTGTTGTTGTTGTTGTTGTTGTTTTGGTTTGTTTGTTTTTTCTCTGCTACTCTTCTGCGCAGCCGCACCCCCGGCTTGTGTTGAGGAGGGGCGTGAATGCGGCGAAGCCGACGCCACAACACAAGTGAAGAGGGACGGGGATGGAGAGAAAGAGAGAGAGAGAGAGAATAGGTTAAGAGAGGAGAACGGACGGAAGAGAGGGGTTGTAGGGATGATGCTCGGCACGTCGGGGTCGCCTGCGTGCGGCAAGGCGTAGGCAGTAGTCACCAAAGTGAACGTACGTGTGTGTTTTTTTGTGCATTGCTGTTAGANTGAGTGTGTGTCATTTTGTTTTTTGTTTTTGTTTTGTTTGACTTTTGCGCGGCGCCGATTGCACGTCTGTGCGTGCGTGTCGCTCCGCCCCATGATCGGTGAGAGAGTGGCGGAGAAGCGGGCAGCGAACCGCGCTGAGCCGACGGGATGCCTGTAGGGCCTGTGCAATGTGTCCTGCTTAGTTGGCGCCGTGGTTGCGCCTTCTCGACGCACATCTCAATGACTGTAGTCGGTGTGGGCTGGGCGTGTGTGAAAGGAATTGCTGTCATTCTTCTGCAACAGCAGCAAGGAGGGGGGAAAAAACACTGTGGAGAGGTCCTTGCTCACTACACATCAATGCATGTATGACCATCTACACATATATATATATATATATATGTGTGTGTGTGTGTCCCCTTTTGTTACAGCCTCACTGTGCTTTGTCTGTGCGACAGCGCTGCTGCTTCTTCCCGTAGAGGTGCTGCGGCTGTCATTGTGGATAGGCGTCACTCCTGCGTGTGTGCCGTGTCTCGCCCGGGGCCCCAGGTGCCCTTCCCTCGTGTTGCTTATTCCTCCCCCTCTCCTCATCTCTCTTTTTTTGTTCTTGATTTTCACACCACTCTCCTGCTGGCGGCGTCGACGACTTCAGTATCCGCTTCTCTCAGCTGCCACTTGGGCCGTTTATAGGCTGTGTGCCGGTGTTACACGCTTCCTCCAGCCGGGAACCAGCAGCAGCGGGGGCACGATGACGGCGCGACGCCAGAAGTTCTACCCCGCCGCGGAGATCGTGGCGCTGGTGCAGTCGTTGGACCGCCCGCAGGACAATGGGCTCTTCTCGCGCGACGTGCTGCTTGTTTACCCGCGCATCGCGGAGGCGTACACGAAGGCGTGCCCGCGCCGCTGCGACCTCGAGACGGCCGCGCAGAAGGCTGCGAACGACGCGTACGGCTACGACGTGAAGCTCACGGAGCTGCGCGAGGACGTGGATCTGATGGTGAGCAACTGCCTGCGCTTCAACGGGGTGCAGGGGCCGTACGCCGACACTGCCCGCAGCTTTGAGAAGTTCGCAAAACAAGCGATCGACGCGTACGTGGCGCAGAAGACCGGTGGACGCCGTGTTTCGTCGCTGCGGCTCTCGGCTGTTGGCGAGGCAGAAGGAAAAGGAACGCGGGGCAAACGACAGCGTGATGAGGCGCAGTTGTCACAGCAAAAAAACAGCAGCAACAACAACAACAATAATAATAATACTCAGGGGAACACTTCGAGCTGCACGGAGCTTGTTAAGCTTGTCGATTCACTGAACCGCCGCGAGGACAAGGGTGCCTTCGCCGTGGACGTGGCGGAGGCGTACCCGGAACTGCGCAAGGAGTATGAGGCGACCTGCCCGGTGAAGATGAACCTCATCATCGCCAAGGAGCGTGCGGCGAGTGGATTCTACCTCGGCCTGCAGCACGGGCAGCAGCAGCAGCGGCAACGCGGAAGTGAGGTGGCGCTGTCATCGGTCTTGGGTAGCAGTGTCGCGGAGTCGTTGGTGCTGCTGCGGGAGGATGTAGAGCTGATGGTGTCGAACTGTATCCGCTTTAACGCCAAGGTGCAGGCGTGGGTGCAGCTCGCGCTGTCGTTTCAGCTGCACGCACACGAAAAGATTGACGAATTCGTTCTCCGTCACGCCCCATCACTCAAAGGCACCGAGACTGGCGTTGACGTCTACGTCAAGGCAAAACAGCAACAACAAGAGCAGCAGAAGCAGTCGCAAGGGCAAGAGCAACCACAACGGCGCCCGGGCAGCAGCCGCAGCAGCAATCAAGATGGCAACCGAACAGCCGCGAGTACACCTCCCCCCGTCGCCGCCTCTGCTACGTCGTCCGAGAATAAGGCAGCGGCAACAACGGCAGGCCTCCCCCCACGGGCCGCTGTGGCTACGGTCGTCAACCACGTCACGCCAGCCGTTCAGCCGACGGCGTTGCAGCCAGTGTTCGCAACACCAGAGGTGCTGCGCCGGCGGCTGGTGGAGGACCACATTCACAGAGAAACGCTCCGTGCGCGGCTTGTCCACGCTGTCGATGATAAATCCAAGGACGGCGACAGCCAGGATGGTAACAAACCCACCGCGCCAACGTTCCAGCCGGCGCTTAGCTGCCGTGCTGTTCTTGCCGCCTTTGCAGTCTCTGTGCGGAACTTCTACCGCGCGCAGCGGGAGCGGCAAGACTTCGAGAACCCGTTTGAGTACCCGCGGCAGGAGGAGCAGCTGTACCTTGATTGCATCACCCTCATTGAGCAGCAGTTTGAGCGAATCTTCCTCCACGCACTGCTGTACGAGCGAGAGAAGGCCGACGTGTACGACCGGAGCGCTGCCAAGGCGGTGTGGCAGTTTGTTGCCAATGGCGATGCCGCGTCAGCAATGAGTGTGGACAGCGGAAGCGGTGGCAACCGCTGCTGCTGCTGCTGGTTGGATGAGGCGCACCTGTGCTATCTCGTTCGCTTCCTTCAACACTTTCCGCAGCTGATGGGACTCGCCAGCGCCACGGTCGCCCAGCCCACCACAAACTCCACCCCCGCACCAGGAGCAGCCAACGCCAAGCCGGATCTGCACATCACACGGGTGGCAAAAGGTGTCATAGAAAAGTTCGCTAAAATCACAGAAGAATTTCTGGTGTTTATTNACGCCAAGCCGGATCTGCACATCACACGGGTGGCAAAAGGTGTCATAGAAAAGTTCGCTAAAATCACAGAAGAATTTCTGGTGTTTATTGCGCAGTATGAGCAGAAGGTCCTGGGCGCTGGGGAGGCTGAAGAAGCGCGCGAGGAATAGCTATGTGTTAATGTTGTGTGATATTTCGTTGTCACCGTGGGAGCCTGGCTGTGGTGGGGCGAGCAGGTGCGAGGTGTGTTACTCCATACAGAAATGCACCTTCTTCCTCTTTCACACGCAAGTCAACAAGATGAATCTGCAGCCAGAGCACCTGCAACAACAGCAGCAGCAGCAGCAGAAAGAGCTGCAGCCGCACAACAGCAACGGCACCGATGCTGCCGAGGCGACGACTGCGGCGGAGACGCACGTCTACACGTGCCGCATGTGTCGGCGCGCTCTCTTCACGGAGCGCGAGATGATGCCGCATGACCCCGACCCGACCTGCAGCGGTAATAAAGGGTTCAAGCAGCGTGGCGGCACCAACTGCAACAACACCAGCAACAACGCGGCGCGAGAAGTGCAGCCGTGCACCAGCTACTTTCTGGACCCCGACGTGGCGCTGTGGGTGGCAGCAGAGAGCCGTGAGGTTCACCGCGTGAGCGGTGGCGCAGACGTGTCGCCGGACACCATCTACTGCCCACACCGCGGCTGCGGCGCGAAGATTGGCACGCAGTCGTGGGTGGGCTCGCAGTGCTCCTGCGGCGCGTGGGTGTCTCCGGCGTTTAAGATTCACGGTCGCGCCGTGGACAAGATGCCGCTGCAGCAATCTGTTGCCGGCTGACTGGCTCTGTATATATGTGTGTGTGTGTGTGTGTGTAACGCGACGAAGGTGTGGGTGAACACTAAACGCTGTGGTAGCGCAGACGCGTCTCTGCGTACTTCACGGCAACATCATGCACGATGAATGTTGTCATGCGGCTTCAATAGCTGATTTTGTTCTTCATGCTTCTTTCTCTGTCCTGTTTCGGCTTCACTTCCCTCATAGCTGTGCGTGCGCAGTCTCCGCACGGGTGGTGTGTGTGTGTGTGTATCCCCGTCAGCGCCCCTCTCACACAGAGTGGGGGAGGCGACGCATTAAGCCACAAATGCGCGGTGGAGCAGATGGCACTGCTGCTGCTGCTGAGGACGATGGTGGTATTGAGGAGGTCCTTCCGCGCCTCACGAGTGGTGACGCCATTGCGTGTGTGCGCTTTCTGATGGGATGGATGGACGCCGAACCGCGGACGGCAGTCGGGCAGCTGCATCACCGCCTTCTTGCTTTCACTGACAAAGGGCAGCGAAACATTATTAATAATAACAACAAGGGCGGAAAAAACGACATTTACGATGAGCAGACGTCGCTCTCGGCGTACACGTTCCAAATGGAGCTGCTGCCGTCGATGGTGCAGTGTCTCTCGGAGAGTGTGACGTGCGGCCCAACGCGCACGTCAGACCCGTCACAGGTGCGCAACGCGTTGCTGCACGTCATGTCAGACGGACATGCTGGAAACTCCCGCAACCGCCACGCGGCCTCTGCGCGGGCAATGGCGGTGGCAGAGAAACTACTTGCTGCTGCCCGTAGCACACAGTACCGCAGCCCAGTTGTCCTGCTGCTTTTTCACCCAAACGAGGCGGTCCGCACGTGGGCGCGGGAGACAATACTGCGCCTCGTTAATGTGGCCTTCTCTTCCGCCTCTGTGGGCAGTACGGCGGAAGCAGCAGCCCACAACGCGTGGCTCCTTGGGATGCAGCTTCTCTGTACGATTAGGCACCTTGCGTGTATCCCGCTCAATGTGCGGGAGGAAGGTCCGCGAGGAGTTGTTGCGGATGGCTTCTGTGGCCTCCTGGCTGTCCTAACAGCGGTGGACACAAAGCTTGCGGTGCTTGAGCGGACCCTGTTGCAGGACGCAGCTGCTGCTGGCCAGGCAGCCCCGGTGCTATTTCACGGTGTGTCAAGTGCAACAATTGCTTTGCTTGGCGGCAGCATGGTGCTGGATTGGCTCCTCGCTGCCTCATCGCCGTCGTCCTTGTCGGCTCCGTCGGGTGACGCACCGACAACAACAACAACAACGCCACTGGCACAGGGGTTGGCGGTAGCACTTAACCTTCGACTAGGCGCTGAGACGACACTCCAGCCCCTCTCACTCGCTCTGGACACGCGACGGACACTCGTGAAGACACTCGTACACTGTCTGCTCGACAACGCCAAGCGTGCCGTCACGACCTCAGAGAGCGAGAGAGCGCGGTGTCAGCGACGCATGCGGGATTTGTGGTGTGTCGCAGCGCACATCGACCCGCCACCATCATCATCACCATCGCCAGCAGCAGGAACCAAGACAACAGCTGCCGGGGCGGCGTGCTGCCCGCCAGGAAAGTCGGCCGGGTGGTTGCTGCGCTTCCTCATACGCAACGCATCCGTGCAGCTCAATTTGCGGGTGGCTGTGCAAGGCGCGGCGGACAGCAGCAGCGACAACGAGTCAAGGCTGCGCACGATGGAAACCGCCGTGCACGCCCTCGGTGGTATGCTGACGGCACTGAGCGGCGCACTCCCCGACCTTGCCACCTCACTCTTTTACCACGACTTTTTGAGATCAATACAGAAAGACTGCGTGACACTCGCTGTTGGCGTTGCCCTGCGCTCCAAAGATCCCCGTGCCGCGCTGACACTTTTGCGGCATTTTATGCAGACAGACTTGGCGGTCTTTGGTCGTTGCCAGCCGCCGCACCCTGGCGAGTGCCTTCGCGCCGCGTGGGAGGCTCTGCCAGACATGGTGCAGCGAATAGCGAAGCTGCCTGATGAAAGGGCACGTCTGTCGTCACCACCGCTCCTCCCGCAGACGATGGAGCTCTTTGACTTGACACTGGCGCAGTTGTCTGTGTGTGCGTGGCTCCTGCTCAAGCCGCTGAAGGATGGGCCGCCGCCACTGGCGGGGGTGGTGGGCAAATGCATGCGGCGTCTCACGGAGGTGGTGCAGGGATCTATGAAGAACCTGCAGCGGCAGTGGGAAGCCGTGACCGGCAACAGCAATAGCAGCAGTCTGTGCGAGGCGTCGGCGGCAGCCGCATCGCGTCTTCTTTCCTCTGGCTCGCCTATCCCTCGTGTGGCACATGTGTTGATGATGTCGAGTGACGTGGTGGTGCGGAGTCTTGGGGAGGCTCTTTCTGCTTTGTTCCTCCACTCCTTCACACCCGTCGTGCACAACACGTTCCGTGCAGACGCTGCCAACTGGTTGCTGCAGGCGGCTCTCCACGACCCCGTTCTGCAGGCGCACCCGTTGAAGCTCCACAACGCCAAGGTCGATGCCGTTGCTCGTTCCAGCGGCGTGGCGTGGACAACAGTGATGTGTGGGTGTAACTGGAGCAACCTGCCACACGAAGCCCTGGCGGCATCATGGTGGTTGTGTGCACTGCTTGCCGATGTGTGCATACTGGAGAAGGAAATGCGCCACCGGCTGCTGGAACTCGTCATTACACAGCTTCCGTCTATTTTTGATGTGCCACCGGCACGTGCGGCTAGCAATGACGCTGTGGCGTCGGAGAGTTCTGCAAGCCTTACTCCTGGTGCTGTGGATAGTGACACTGCAAGCCACCGGATCGCCCAGCAGCCGCTTCGTCAGTGCGCGCAGCGCCTTTTGCTTGTACTTGTGCAGAAGTGCTCCTTGTACGATGTGTCCACGTTTTGCAGTGCGGTTCTGCATGTCGCCAGTGCACAGCCGCCGCCCACGCGGTCGCAGCCTGACGTGGTCTTCAGGAACGCCCTCTCCACTGCATTTGTTGCCGCGCTGCAGCAACTGCCGGAGGAGGCGCGGAACACACTGACGGAGTATGCCCCCGCATGGCTGGTGGATATTCTTAGCTCGGCGCGGCGCAACATCAATGATTCTGTGGCGGACCAGAACCGTCGCTTTCAGGAGTACGAGTTTGAGGAGAAGCGGCTGAAGCAGCTGGAGGAGGAGGAACAGAAGCGGGTGCAGCAGGAGGAGGCGATGTGTCGTGCCAATCGAGAGCTGCGGCGACACGAGTTGGAGCACCAGCGAGGGGAGGGGACTACGTGTGCCGCCTCTCGTGTCATCCTCCCAAATAGCGGTTTGAAGCGGGTGCGTGAAGCGGAGGAGCCGCGGTTGCCGTCGTTGCTAATTGCGCAAACCCCGTCCGCTACGGATGCTTCTAATGTGTTGGTAACGTCAGAGCTTTGCCCGCAGCAGCAGCAGCGATTGCGCGTGGAGCAGACTGTCGCCGCCGAAACCGTCCCGGGTGCACAACAACGGTCAGAAGCGTCCAGGCGCGCCACACCACTGCAAAAACACTTGCAGCAACTTGGGGAACGGCGGCTGGACGCGTACATCCGGGCGGAGAACTTGGGCAACTCGGCAGAAGCCATTCGGCGCGTGGCTTGCAGCACCGATGTGCTCCGGCGCCCCATACGCGTAGACGACATCATTGGCCATGGACGGAGTTGCCTGGCCAGAGAAGTACCCCACATTCCACAGATTTTTCCGGCGGCTCTGCAACGTGGCTGTGATTTCTACGTGTCGTCATTCCTCCCGCACATTGCACTGGAGCTGCGGTACGAACTACTACACAAGTTCGACGAGATGGTGGACGTGTGCCGATCCCGTGAGTCTGCTAAGGGGTATGGGAGTGGCGAAAACCGAGGCACTCCGTCGGCCATGCGGAGCCGTGTCGCGAGTGCCAGCGTGAAGGGACCGCCGTCGGTGTCGGCGTGGGTAGTGGAGAACGCAACGGCCGTGATGGCGGCGGGCGCCGCGGTTCCTAATATGTTGGAGCCTGCGAAGCTGGAGTTCGCCGTGATGCCGAAAGTCACTCCAGGTGCGGCGCCGGTGGTGGCATCGCTGATCGCAGCACTCTCAGAAGGCGACGTTGTTGTAGTACTTCTACCGCTACCCCGAGTGACTGCCTCACTGCCGCATTTGTTAAATACCGTCGATGGTCTGCCGGAGGCGTGGCGTCTGCTGGGCTGTATTCCGCAGTTGTGTGTTGTCACATTGCTCCAACCGGGGCAGCGCACCGCCACACTCACGATGTTCACGCCGGCGTCACAGTCGTTTAGCTCGGCAGCGGCTAGTGGTGGTAATGGTGGTGGTGCTGGCGCCGTGCCCGTGCCATTTTCACACGCTCTGCGGGTGTTCCTCACGTCGAAGGAACACTTCTACGTCAAGCGTCTCATTCCACTCGGCCCGTCCCTGGCCTCTGTTGCAGCTATGCACAACATTCAGCGCAAGGCGTTTCTTAACACACTGCTGGAGCCGCATCTAGCTGCCAAAGGCTGCCGCGCATACCACAACGCCGTTAAGCGGGAGCTGCTAATGGGCGATCGCTGGGACGCACTTACACGTGGCATTCTGCTGCACAGCTCCCTGAATGAGTGGCAGATGCGCGCCATTGCTTCTGTCCTCACCGCAGCGGTGCCTGGATGGGAGACGGAGACGCTTCGAACACTGCTGCCAAGCACCATCTTACCGATGCCGCCGGATCTCTTCATCATTGAAGGGCCACCAGGAACAGGCAAGACACAGACCATCGCGGCCCTCACGCTTAATTTGCTGCATTATCTTCCCAAGAGTGGGCGTCGGGTGTTGGTGTGTGCGGCGTCGAACTGCGCTGTTGACGAAGTTTTGTTACGAGTTCAGAGCCTTGCAAAGCGTGTGCCACAGCTTGGGGAGCTGCAGCTACTGCGCGTCGGGGTGCGGGAGAGTGTTGATCGGGAGGTTCTAGCCGCCACACCGCCACTTTTTCTTGATGACTGTGTGGGGATGTTGAGTGACGCTTCGCATACGTCGCGGTCGGTGACAACGGGACGGGTGGTGCGCAATGGAAACACAGATGGTGTCAACAACGGCAATGGCAGCAGCAGCAGCAACGGTGGTAGTGGGCGGCAAATGCTACGCGATCAGTTGCTGCGGGGGGCCCACGTGGTGTGCTCCACATTGGGTTCGCTGAGTCAGCTGCAGCGCCTCGACTGCCTCTTCGATATGGTGATTGTCGATGAGGCTTCGCAGGGTACGGAGCCGGACGTGCTGCAGGCGCTGATGTTCGCAAAGCGGCGTGCGGTGCTCGTCGGCGACTCAAAGCAGCTGCAGCCGACTGTGCTTTGCCAGGCCGCCGCGGTGCGTGGGCTGAAGCGCAGCCTGCTGCAGCGGTTGCTACACCAGGGCCACCGCTCGTCGCTGCTGAGAACGCAGTATCGCATGCACCCCGACATCTGCGCCTTCCCAAACCGCTACTTCTACGGTGGAAAGTTGCACACGCATGCCAGCGTGCTGTCGCGGCAACTCGTTGCGCCGTCGAACGCGCTGCCGATGCTGACCACCATGGGGAAGGCGCCGCGCCTTGCCTTTGTGAACGTACAGGACGGGCGGATGGAGTGGGGCAGAGGCCGCTCGCTGATGAACCGGCGCGAGGCAGAGGCCGTTGTAACGCAGATGCGCCGTTTTCGCGCGTTTCTGCGGCTCTCACCGGAGGCGTTCGCCCCTCACATCGGCATCATCACTTTTTACCAGGCGCAGAGGGAGGCCATCGTACGGCTGCTCTCACGTGAGGAGCGCAGCAGCGAGTTGCAGATCGCCACCGTCGATAGCTTCCAGGGGAAGGAGAAGAATATCATCTTCATCAGCTGTGTCCGCGCCCCACATGCCGCCGCCGCACGCACGGATGGGGCCGTGACACTCGGCTTCATGGAGGACTGGCATCGCATTAACGTCTCCCTCACGCGTGCGAAAGAGTTCTGTGTGGTGTTCGGTCACCGGCAGACATTCCATGACGCTGCGGCGAGTGCGGCGATGCAGCAGCAGCAGCAGCAGCAGCAACAAGAGGACTTGACGCCGTCAGGTCTTGCGGGTGATGCTCATGTGGAAGGGAACAGTGACAGTGATGGTGACGCTGTGCAGGAAGTTGTGGCGCCGATGCCAAAATCCGATGACGATCCGTTTGTGATTGAACGCCTGGCGCAGCGCGTGGAGTACCTTTCCGCACAGCAAGAAAAGCAGCAGCGGCAACAGTCACAAGAAGCCCTCGAAAATGGTGAGACTGCAGCGTTTTTCACTAACAGCGGGGAGCTGCACTTGCTGAGGGAGCTGCTGCTGGATTCATAACACTGCAACGGACCACAGTGAAAAAGTAAGGTGTGGGAAAACATATACAGAGAGAGAGGAGGAAGAGAGCGAGACATTTTTAACAATGGGTCGAATTGAAAAGGTGGGGGGACGGGAGGACTAATGGAGCTATCCACACACCTCGTGTGTGTGTGCCTCTCTCCCTCCCTCTGTCTGTCTGCTTCCCCTATGATGCGTTGAGTTGGCGGCGCAGCACCACGACGACTGCCACTGCTGCTCTTGCCAACGATGAAGGTGGTGATGAGAGAAACAGTGTATTGACCCCCGCTCCCTTGCGTTCCTCATCCTCTTCCACCACAAGACCGCATTACACACAAACACACAAATAAAGAGACACACAAGCACTACATCATGCCTCTCAGCTACGAGCAGATGGAAGAGTTGGTGCGCCACAATCTATCAGGCGCCGCCAGCGTCCCTATCATCGATGTGCGTGACCGCGACGAGGTCAAAAACAGCGGCCTCATCCCCAGCGCGACGAACGTGCCGCTCAACGAACTCGCAGGCGCGCTTTCCCTTGCGGACGCCGAGTACACCGCCAAGTACGCCGCGCCGATGCCGAAGCGGGATGCCAAGGTTGTCGTGTACTGCCTGAAGGGCATGCGTGCGGATAAGGGCTGCACGCTGCTGCAGAAGGAGGGGTTTACCGCTGCCGACACGTACCCCGGCAGCTGGGACGAGTGGAGCAAGCACCACAAGATGTAAAGAGGGGTGACAGCAACCCTCACGCATGTACGCAGTGTTTAGTGATAGTCGTAGTGGAAGGACTGAGAGGGGAGGGGGGCGGTTTTCAACGGTGAAACGGGAAAATACCAATTCTGTATTAGAAAAGAGGAGCGTGAAAATCCCTTCTGTCATTTTTTTTTTTTTATGGGTATCGATTGCTTCGGTTGGAGGGCCGGCAGGTCTGGTTGTGCAGGGGTGCGTGATCACGGATCCACTCCCCGCCCGATCGTTCCTTCCCGATGTCATGTCCTTTCTGCGCTGNTCACTCATTTTTGTTTTGTCTTTCTTGTTGCATGTAAAGTAGTTAAATGTTGTCTGCGGCGCAGAAGGAACTGCAGCAGCGGGTGCAGGTGGTGGTGCGTGGGCAGAGGTTTGAGTCCACTGTGGAGGTATTGTCGAGGTACTGCGTCTTGTTTCGCAGCTTCTTCCGAGACGCACTCGCGAGGCTTGACCGTGGCAACTGTAGTAGTGGCAGCAGCAGCGGTGAGAGTAACTGGAAGTTGTGTTACGACGCTGCTGCACGCGAGGTCGACGCATGCCTGCACCGACCAGCCGCCGAGGATGGCATGGCGGTTGCTGCTGCTTCGGTAGAGTGGAGCAATGACGGAAGCATGTGGCGGTTTGTGTACACCGCCACGGCGTTGGCGCCAGAAGATGTGGGCGTCGTGCTGGTGTACATCCGAAAGCTGTTCCGCTGGAGCCAACAGACGGAGCCAACAGCACCACAGCCGCAGCTGCCGGTTCGCTGGGACGAGATGCCACACGACGCACAGCTCGCATTGGCACGTGTTGTTTGCACGTTCGGTGTTGAGCCACTCATTGGGCTCTACGATCACCCCACCGCCCAGCCTGGCAGCAACAGCACTGAGGACGATAGCACCATGAAGGCAGGGGCGGGCGGCTTCTTACTGCGGGAGAAGGCGGAGGCGTACATTCGGGAGCGTCTCATGCAGGAGCCACCCAATGGGGCTGTGGCCGGAGCAGCAGAAAGTGCAGGCAATGGCGTGCATCCCAGTGTTGATGATGATGATTTGCTCCTGGAAACGGCGGCGTGCTCGAAGTGCGGCGTCACGGGGCACACAGACGCCGCTTGTCCGAGGTGATCTCAAGTCACTAATACTTCTTGTTGTTGATCTTCTTCGTCATCATCATCTTTGCGTACATTTGTGGCGTCGGTGTGTCTCCTACACACTCTTACCCACCCATCTCTCTCTCTCTCTATATATATATATATATATCTGTGTGTATCACTCATCCTTTCTCCTTCACTCTTGTTGCAGTCTACGCGAGCAGGTAGAAGATAGCGCCATATCAATATTGTGGCGTTGTGTGTCTGTGTGTACGTAAGTGAGTGTTTTTTTTTGCGTGACGACGCTTCGCATGACCAAAAGGGGCCGGGGTCAGCGCCGCGAGAATGCAAACACAAATAGTGTCGCAGTTGCTGACACAGCTTCCACTCCTGCCACGAAGGGGTGTGTGGAAAAAAAGGGACACGCAGCGGTAGACCATCTTGATCTCTTCACTCCGTTGTTGCAGTACTACGTCGCGCTTGCAACAACTGTCGACAACGGCTATGCTATCCCCGCCAATGACGATGATGACAATGCACAGCTGTGCAACGACACCGCGGCAAATGGCGACAGAATGAAGAATGACGTGGCGACCGACGCGCGGCAGCAACTCGCCAGTTTTCCACCACCCCACCGCCGCTATGAGGTGTTGCAGGCCTTTGTTATTCCCAACACAGTGAGCGCCTATCTGCGTCGTGTGCCGCTGCTGCAGTTGCCGTCCTCAGCATCAGCTGATGATGTGGGTGGTGATGATGATCATGATGGCAGCAACAAGAAGCGGCACCGGGTTGAGTCCTCAGCCCATCATCATGGTAGCAATACCAACAACAACAACAACAACAGCAAAGGCAGTCTGGAGGACGTGCTTGCGTCTATTCGTGGAGCGGCGGATGCGCGCCTTCCACCCTTTGCAAATGACGCTGAGTTCATCGCCGCGCACGAGGGACGGTACGTGTGGAAGGACTGGGCCAGCTACACCTCCAGCATGGTATGCGGCAACGGGCAGCTGGAGCGCGTGGTGCTAATGGCGAAGCTGGACTTGTACTGGCAGTGCCGCCCGTGCCAGAGCGCGGCAGCAGAGCTCTTCACAGAGCACATCGCCATGCGACTGCAGAAGATGCGGCTTTCACCCCGCGTGGTGCGTGTCGCGCAGAAGTTGTCGCTGGTGCAGCACGAGCTGGAGGCACTGACGTACCTCCTGGTGTGTCACTGCGGCTCTGTGTGGCCGCTGAGCTGCGCGGGCAGTGGTGCCCTCACCCCCGCCGCGCTCGCACACCACAACGGCCTCAGTCCGTTCCAGCTGATGCACTTCCTCGCTGACTACCGCGAGCACATGAAGCAGGGCATGCTCCTCTCCGACATCAAGTACAAGTGCAGCTTCATGGACTGCAGGCTGGCGATTCCGCAGGAGGTGATCGCCGCGCTCTCTGGAGACCGTCTGTCGGAGGAGCAGCTGATCAAGTTGGAGAAAACGGCACTCGCAGAGATACTTGTGGCGGAGCGCACACCTGAGGCAGGAAACGCTGGTGGTGCTAGTGTTGTAGACGGTAAAACTGGTTCACCACGAAGTAACAACCCGGAACACAGGCGAGGCGCTGACGATGATATGGCGTCAAACGACAGCAGTGACTGCAGCACATCTGTACTGGACGCACTTGGTCTTGAGGCGGTGCTGCTGCAAGCGGGTGACGAGGTTGTCACTGAGAATGTGGTGGCGGAGCGAATGCAGGGCATGCCTCCAAACCGATCTCACCCCTCCCACGAGCAACAGCAGAGCCATGCAAAGGATGGCCGCAACGGCAGTGTGGCGTCGTCAACGTCGTGTGCAGTGGCCGCGGCCGCGACAAAAGTGGAAGCAGCAGCGAATGCGATCGCCACACACAGTATCCACACACCCTATGAGAGCGACATTGAGTACATGGATGAATCGTTCAAGTTGCTGGCGAACGTTGTGCGTCTTCGTGGGGCGGAGAGCGACATGAAGGACGAGGATGAGGCCATGTTCACGCCCAAGAACAAGGTGGAGGCGACAATGCGGGAGCTGCGAGGCAAGGTACGCGTTGCGACAGCCGTCCACCATGCGCGCACGGCGGCGACGATGAAGGAAGGGAAATTCCTCCCACGCATAGAGGCGCTGTCGCAGAAGCTGCAGCTGTCGGATCTCGAGAAGCGCATTATGTTGCTGCTGGTGGGGAATGTGGTGTCGCACGACATTCTCATCGCCATCAATGGCCGCTACGTGATGCGGGAGGGGCAGCGTGTGTTGACTGTTGGCTACATTCTCTTCGTTTTGTGCGACACGCTGAGGGAGCGTGTGGCGGCGCGCAAGTCCTTCTACCAGTCCGGCCCGCTGCTGTCGAACGGTGTGCTGTCGCTCTCGCTTGACGGCGGCGGCCGCACGTGCTTCAACACGGACCTCATGGACTACGTTGTTGATATTGACCGCAAAATCGTCGACCACCTGATGGGCACCGACACCGAGACGGCGGAGATGGTCCCTGGATCGCGCCTCTACACACCGACAGTCCCGATGGCGAACGTTGTGCTGCCCCATAGCGTCACCGACCTCGTCCTCACCACGATCCAGCACTACAGTATGTTCGAGGAGTGCAAACGCAGTTGTGGCTTTGGCGAAGGCCTCGGCGCGAGCACGAGCGGTCTGGTGTTTCTCTTCTACGGCCCGAGCGGCACCGGCAAGACGATGCTCGCAAACGCCGTCGCCTACGAACTGCACAAGCGTATCCTGCTTGTCAACCTGCTGCAGTTTAAGAGTGACGTCAAGGCGCCGGAGATGCTGCGCTTCATCCTTCGTGAGGCGAAGCTCAACGACGCTATGGTGTTCTTTGACGAGTGCGAGTCCATATTCGAGTCGCGTGAATCCAACCCGCTCGTTACGTCTATCCTCGCCGAGTTCGAGAAGTACGACGGGCTCATCGTGCTCGCGACGAACAAGGCGCAGGTGATCGACGAGGCGATGAACCGCCGCATCTCCCTCATGGTGGAGTTCCGCCTGCCGGACCAGCAGATGCGGGAGAAGATATGGCGCGCCCACCTCCCGCGTCATCTCGCGCTGCACGACGACGTCTCCTTGACGTCGCTGGCGCTCAACTACGAGCTCTCCGGCGGCCTCATCCGCAACGCCACCATCGCCGCGCTCAGCAAGGCGGTCGCGCGCGAGAACACCACGGCACCGACGCTGCGCATGCAGGACCTCGAGGAGGGCGCGCGGCTGCAGCTGCGCGGCTTCTTCCTCGCCGCGGAGAAGCCGGCGGGCGCGTCGACGGAGTCGTACTTCACGCCGAAGCGGCCGCTCAGCGAACTCGTGGTGGAGCCGCAGACGCGGCAGGAACTTGACGCGGTGGTGCGTCTCGCGAAGGGGCGCAGCACTCTTTTCTCGCAGTGGGGCTTCAGCGAGGACGACTGCGCGGATCAGGGAGCGCTGTACCTCTTCCAGGGCCCCAGCGGCACCGGCAAGAGCCTCGCCGCGGAGGGCATCGCCTACGAGTGCGGGGCGGCGATACGCCTGTGCAACGTGGCGGAACTGCTGCTGGTGGAGGGGCTCAAGGTGCACGACGTGTTTGGCGAGGCACGCAAGCTCGGCGCTATTGTGCTCTTCGACGAGGCGCAGGTGCTCTTTAACCACTCCGAGCAGAGCGTGCACGTGGCAAAGCTGATCCACTACCACGCGATGCGCTACCCGCGGCCCGTCATCTTCATCGCGACAACAGGGACGGCGGATGCGATGAGCGTCGACGCGCGTGCGACGCCGCTGCTATTCCAGCAGCAGATACACTTCCGCATGCCGACGCGGCAGCTGCGCCGCGAGCTGTGGCGACGTGCACTCCCGGAGAAGATGCCGCGCGACGAGGAGGGCATTGACCTCGACGAGCTGAGCGAGGCGCAGGTGTCGGCGAAGCTCATCCGCGCCGCGGCATTCAGTGCGTGCTGCAGAGTGGCGATGCTGGGTACGGAGAACCGCAGGCTGACGATGCGGATGCTGCGCGAGGAGCTGGAGAACATGCAGCTCAGGGAGAGTCACCGCCGGCCGCGCAGTCTGATGTTCGCGTAATCGCCACAAGAGCAAATCATGTTCGGGGCGGCGTGTGGGTGTGAGTGCGTGCGAACCCCATCAGCGGAACGAAAGAAAAAAAGAAGGGAGAAAATGCGTGAGTGAGAGAGAGGGCGGTGAATGAACAGCACTGTAAAGAAACAGAGAGAGGAAGAGAGAGAGAGAGAGAGAGAGAGATGGAACGACTACAAGGTACTAAACACTTAAGGAGAGAAGTGTCCGGCAACTACTTATGCTGCCGCTNAAAAAGAAGGGAGAAAATGCGTGAGTGAGAGAGAGGGCGGTGAATGAACAGCACTGTAAAGAAACAGAGAGAGGAAGAGAGAGAGAGATGGAACGACTACAAGGTACTAAACACTTAAGGAGAGAAGTGTCCGGCAACTACTTATGCTGCCGCTGCTGTTGCTGCTGCTGCTCGTGGTGGTAGCGCCAATGTGGGCTTGCTTCTGTGACAGTGCGTGTTGTGCACTTCGGTGGCTATTCCGTTTCTCTCCCTCTTTGATTCCGCGTGGAGATCTCCCTGCCGCAGAGGCAAATAGACGCCGCCGCACACGAAGAGGCGGGTCTGCAAAGACCCCGCGGTATATAGGTATATATTTAGAGCCTTGACAGCAGCAGAAGCAGGAGGAGGAGGACGTAGGGGGGAATGGCCACCAGCGACGGGGGCGATTTCGCGGCGGTCAGACGGCTTCTTCTGCAGGAGTCGTGGGAGAGCACGTCGCACGCGAGTGATTTCTTGTGCCACCTGCTCGACGAGTCGCTGCCGTGCTGGCGCGACGGCGAGATGCAGCAACGCATCGGTGTTGCGGCGCAGTTCACGACGAGGACGGCAGGTGAGTTCTTCGCATTCGTCGCGTACTTTGCGGCGGCGCTCACGGCGCGGCGCGTCGCACACACAGACGGCGGTACCAAAGCGCAGTTGACTCATCCGCCCAAAGCGGTGGCGCACCACCACCGCCACCAAGAACAGCAGCAGCAGGCAACGTCAGCCGGGTTCCCCCCTATTCACGAGCTCTGGCGGCACCCGTCGCTGTTGGCGGCCATGGAGCGGGTGGCTGAGGCCGTCTGGGCGATCCAGGCAGCGCTGCATGGTGGCGGCACCAACAACGGGGGCGTCGTGCGTTGCCCGCTGTGCTACGCGGCGAGTCTGGAGCACGTTGGTGGCTGCGACGCGTTGTGGGCCCTCCTCGAGTTCCACGCCGCATACCGCGTTGCTACCGCTGCGTTCCCGGGAGACCATATTGATGCTGCCAGCAGCAGTAGCAGCAGCGACAATGACACTGAGAGCAACAACAATAGTGCAACTGCTGCGGTTTCAGAGAACGCCGCCGCGGCCGCGCGGCGCCTGCTGTGGACGCACGCCGTTGCCGTCTGCCGCAACGCTGTCTGGAACGGGGCGCAGCAGACGGCGCGGCTTTGTGTAGAGCGGTGGCTCTTCGCGGGCACACACCCCGCGCTGTTTGCGATGCCGCGCCATCAGGGGAGTGTTG